ATTTTGTGTTGTTGTTTCTCCTATGTTGGCTAGCTGTGTTGTAGGTGTTACTAGCTCACAGCTATCTTCTGTGTTCTCCAGGATATTGCTGTCAACGGGAGGAATTTTATATTCACAGCACAATGACTGCCATTTAACCTTTGTGTCTGATAGTTGTTTGTTTTCTATGTGTCATCTAGATAGCGAAGAGTTAAATAGAAGGAAGTACCTGCATGAGGCATAATTATAATCAGAAAGCAACGCATTTTTCCTTGCAAACTGTTCCACTCTAGGTCCTGTTTGCAGGCTACAGTGCTTTAGGATAAACCCGCTCCAGTGAGGGTCAATCTTTCAGGAAACTGTTGGATGTCAATTTTCTTTTTAGAGTTCTACTTCAGTGCTATTTTGCGACAAATGGTTTGAAAGCACTATATGCAGTACCTCTGTGTCTGCTGCTACACGGACATGATTCAGAAAAAACATGAAAAGGCAGCATACAGTAAGAAAAAAAATCAAAATACAATCATTTTTGTAGCATGCATACCAGTTCCTGTTTTGTAACTGAGCACTGTTTGATGCTGATCACCTTACAGTTGCAGGCTCTGGACGTCTGTGGAAATCTCACTGGAGGAGAGAAGGATTTCTGCTTTTATCCAAGGCGAAATAGCTGGACGGTATGGAGTAACAGTTGAGTATGGCTTTGAAGAAAGCTTAAGCAGATAGTCACAACTGCCCTACAGTCAGGAGGATGTTATTTATTATCTGATGTTTTACACAAAAGCTGAACTCTACTGATAAGGTATAATGAGTTTCCTAAATCACATTTTGTATAATACAGAAAAATAGGGGTATAAGGTGTTACTCACCTTATGCAGATTGCTGAACAGACAGGCAAAGAAGTGGGACAATGCTGGTAAAGGTGTTTAAAAAAATTTCCTTTAAACCAGTCCTAAAACTGGCGCTGTTTCTGACTCTGGTGTCTAACACTGGAAACTGAACTGTGTCCTAGGGGAAGAAAAGAACCTGATTTTTCTTGAAGGATGTAACACAAAGAAAACACAGTGATGCTGGGAATCATAAACACATTAGCTCATGCCTCATTGTTTCTAGAAAAGCATTGCTTCATATAGCATGGGAAATATGATCAAAACAACAAACAAAACTCTTTTAGATAGATAATAGGAGTTCAAGGCCATAGGAATAAAGAACCAAAAAGAATGAAATTAGTTTTGTGCATTTCTCACAATAAGAACCCGTGATAACCTATTGAAGAGATTATTTCTTAGCAGATAAATGGACTTCCTTAAATACAAGTGTTAATGAGAGAGTTTTTATCTGAACAAAAAATAACTTTGAAAGCATCTTAGCTTTGTTTCTTGCCTTGTTGGCAGCTGTTGAAGTGGTATTCTGAACTTCAGGTGTTTCTCTTCTGTGGTAGAACTGTGTTAATTTATCAATGCTCTGTGCAGTTTGTTTTGGTCATAAATAAAGGTTCTGCCATCATGATATCTGTGCACAGAGTGAAGGTTAACATATGTATTGTGTCCAAAGCTTCTGTGTAATGTGTTTCTTTTGTGTCTCTGTGGCTACCTAGAAACGCATCTGAATATGTTTAGAGCTACAGTTAATCTGATTGCTTCTGAATGATGCACAGCTGGATAAGAATACCTGGGGCAGGGATTTTATCCAATTGCTGAATAGGTGTGTCCTGAGTTTAGTAAATCGGGTAAATTTTCCTTCAATGCATATGGGATTCATGCTGAACACTTCTTACCTTCCCACTCATGAAATGCAATATAAGCAAAGCCATAAGAGGAGTCAGCAGGGGAAAAGTGAGTGCTACTCTAGAACTGTTGTTATGGGCTATTCATTTCCATCTGAGGTTCCTGCAGTGTGCTGTCCTTGTTTTTGCTGCTATTCTGCAAAGAAACCCAAGTATTTCCATAGTAGTTTGAGTGCCCCTGCCTTCTCTGTCATACATGCTGCTACATAGCAATGGTGAAATATGAAATTGCTTTGGGGGGGGGGAAGGAAAGCAGTTATGGGAAAGTGTTGTACTACTTTTTCCTTGTTTTGGGTGGTATATTTGCTTCCTATTTATTGCCCTTTAAAAGCTCCTCTACACTTGACATTTTTTCTTCCTCTCATGCAAAGCTAGAAGAAATAATAGCTGCACTTAATTCAGGTCAGAGAAAATCCATAAGGTTTTTACTGGTTATTATTTTATTCCTTCCATGTTCATAGCATGTCTCCATAGTATGACTGCAGACATTTTTCCACACTGCTGTGAACTAAACTCCAGAGAAAATGATAGCAATAGCATAAGATAAATTTTCTGTACAGTAGGTAAGCAACTGAGGTCTAGAACTAATAAGGTATTTGGGCAGCCCACTTGAAAATAATGAGAAGTGCCTGAATGTGTGGACCTGGATTGTGGAATGGTTCTGTACGAGTAGTGCTAACGAGACAGACGACAATTTCATCTTTCTTCTGGCATCTATTACATGCTGGTGTGTACTGTCCCTATAGAAGGGGCCCAAGGTGAAACTGCTTTTGAGGAGCACTTACTGTTGAAAGACTGAAATGTTGATGGCTGCTGACTGAAGGTTCTGTTTGTCAATGCTTGCACGTGAGCATGACTTGAACGTATCTTTATCTGAACAAAGTAGTTTATGGTAGTGCTAGATACCAGTATTTCCTGGCTCATAAATCATATGTATTTCTACTTAGTAAGTTTATTTAAAAAAACCCAACAACTTCTAATATTCTAACATTTATTTTCTGCTTATAAGTAAATGCCCTTCTTTATGATTTTGGCACTTGATTTAGGTCAGTAGTTAGACATGCAGGAGTACCAAACTGTAGGCCTATGGGAAACACCTTAATTGCAAATTCAAGGTTGGGGAGCAGAGTAGTCGTTCATTCTTTAAAAGATATGACACTGGCATGCTCCTGTCTTCATGTTGTTTTCAGTTCTAAACTTCAGTGAAGTCTTTTTAGCTTCTGTGTTCATCAGCGATGGTGTTAGAGTACAATATATAAAGCCGCGACAATAAATCTGACATGAGGTACAACTCTCTCTCATTGAAGACAGGCGGAGAGGGGAGAGGAAGAACAGAGAAGCTGGTTTGCATTTTACTGCAAACAGGGATAATTTCAGTGGCTTGTACCTGAACCTCTTAGTTCTAGCTTGTTCAGTCTCGAGCTAAATAGCGTGCAGTGTCTTAACTCCTTTTGTTGGAATAGTGCATATACCTGAAGGAGAGAGAGTTTCAGTCAATAGCCACTTCTGCTGTTTTTTAGATGACTTGAATATTGTCTAATGCTAGCAACGAGCAGTATTTCCAGGTCATTTCACCCACCTGTTTAAAACAATTGTGCTGTTGTCGTGAGTAGCAATTTATCTCTCCAAATATGCCTTTGGAGTTGTCCATGCTCATGGGACAATTTGGAAGGAGCGAGGACTACTAACTGCGCAAGGGAAGCAGATTAAATATGCTGCGGAAATTTATATTTATATTTGGAATCTGTCTATATTTTTATCTTTTTTTCCTTTTGTTAACTCCAGAGTCCTAGTTAGAGCAATAGTTTTAGCCTTTTGAGCTGATGTTCCAGCAGGTAGTGATTGAGACTAAACTACTTCGACTGCTGTTGTCACCGCATATCTGGCCTTTCGAATACCTTGTCCGACAATGCTGCTTCCATCCGTGAACGAGGAGTCCTGTGCATCTTCCAGGGGTTCCTCTTTCAAATCTGGTCTGCTGGAGTACACAGTCTCTATGGTTTCTAAGCAATCATGTACCGATAGTTCAGAGATTGACCCGCTGAGAAAAGAAGCTGGGTTTGTAATATTAGTTACTACAATATCAATATCATCTGATTCAATCAGAATGGCCTGGTATTGTAGAAATCGGGATGGGGAAAGCCAGTGGTTCCCTTTTTGTTCCAGTACAGCTGATACTGTGTGTGAGACCAGCACTGTGATCTTTTGGCCCAAGGTAAATTTTCGGGCTTCCTGAATATTCAAGACCACCGCCGACACAGCTCGTAGACATCCTGGCCATCCTTTGCTTACTTCATCCAGTTGTTTAGACAAGTAGGCCACAGCGCTTTTGTAG